CACGGATATATATATATATATACAGCATTGAACAAAGAGGTCACATGACCGGATACTGTTGCAAAACCATTATTAGGGTTGTTTTGTTCAATTAAGATGGATTCCTTGATTTTTCGTTTGTTTATGTTGGGTTCTTTGTTTAAAATGACTGTGTTTTTAATATATATACTATGTTTTTTTTGAGTTGCAATGGTGAAAAACATGGGACGGTATTTTATTGTGTTCTGTCAATCTGGTTTCCAGTTTTCTTCCTGTTTCTCCGATGTAGAATTCTGGGCAGTTATTGCATGTTATTTTGTAAATGACGTTGGTATTGTGTGATTTAAGTAATTTTTGTTTGCCCATTCCCATTATTTCAGGGATAAGCGTGAAGGCTTATCACATTAAAATTCGTAGTTAGATCCTTGTGGTGGGCACAGAGCAGATAGTCAATGTTCTTAAATAAACCTTGAACAGTTCGTTGTTTTTGCCGTTGCAGGGATCGAGCCTCGAACATAAGCGTTATAAGCACTCAAACTTATAACCGAGCCACCAGAGGAAGAAAAGTATTACCCCATGTTTCTGACTGTTGCAAGACATAGTACATAGATTTTCAATCTACGTTATAGCGGATACGATGACAGAATTGTGTACTCAGGAATATGTAGCTGAATCCATCAGAGCGTTTTTTTAATGTTTTTATCATATCAAAATAACAGTTTTTCTTTTAAAAAGTACCCATAGTATTCTTCTTTTATAGTATATTGTAATTGTTCAAAACAAGGTATGTAAACAGGTTCTTAGGATGATATATTTCGCTGTAAACTTGTTTCATAATTAATTGTGCGTGCTTTTGGCATGATCCTTGCAATAGATTTTCTTGATGAGTCTATATATTTTGTAAAAAAATACATCTTGATGGTTTGTTTTTGTTTCGGAAATTAAAGTAAAAATATAAAAGAGCTATCTAGGCTATCTGTCCAGAATTTTGAACTGATAGACCAGAAGAAAGGCAGCTAGTCAACAGTGCCAAGCGCAAACTCTCGGGCTACTCTAATAGTGATATTTGACTGTCACTCTTATAACGCACTTAAGACCCTAAAGTACGAAGCATATTTTTACGGTAAGTGGACGCAATCAATAAACATTTAATTCATAGTCTCGCATATTAAATACTAAGCCGCACCCGGCCCCATCTTTTGTGGACGTTTCATGAGAGTGGATATCAAGTTTCCATTAACTTCGTAGATTTATAACTTGCACTTCAATATGGTATTCTTGACGTGAGAATTGTGATTGAAGTTGGACTCATAAACGCACGTCCGAAACTAAGTTTGTAATATGCTGGGCTCGTGATATTGATATATTAAGCAAGAAAACTTTACAATAAAATAAATTTCACCAAACCGAATATATATGTATGTAAATTAAATTTTCTCATTTTTGCAGGTGTTGTTGCAACATTTAATTTTAGCTTTGTTTTGCGTCCTCTGATGGGTAAGTGGTAAGTTCATGAACTTATATTTCTCAAATCCAAGGTTCGATTCCTTGTGGTGGACCAAGTGTAAATAGCCCATTGTGTACCTTTGCAGTGAAAATATAAAAACAATCAGCTTTTTTGTTCCAACGACTTGTATTTTCCATTTTTCTTTTTAAAATTTTAAAGCCTCCTCGCGGTGTTTTAACGGTAAGCTCGAGAACTTGTAATGTGAAAATTCAGAGCTCAATATCTGCAGTGAGCACATCGCAGCTAGCTTATTGGATATGTTCATGTTGAACAACAAACAAATAAACTAGTATTTAATTTTAATAAGTCTTCAGGTTAAAAACAAACTAGTTAAACAACAATAAAAGCCCACATATTACATCAAACATATTTTATTTTTTTTCACTCATAGGTTTTGTTACAAAGTATTCTATAAATTCAAACTTTCTAACAAAAAATGAAAGTTCAAACTTTTACAATTAAACTATTTGACACACTGTTATGTATAATTCTTTTTTCAACATAAAATGGATACGCTTTGAAGATGAAAAATAAAGTATTTGTTTTAAAAAAAATCTCCGTAACATTAATCCTAAATTTTTTTAAAACTTCCCTCATTCCCATCAAGTTCGACCAATTCTCCAGACTTGAAAAAACTTGTGGCTCCATGAAGTCCCACCACACAAGGAAGTCCGCACTCTCGAGCAACGACAGCTCCATGTGAAACTAGGCCTCCCAACTCTGTTACAATTCCTGATAAAAGTGGAAAATACGGACTCCATCCGATATCTGTACTGTTAGTCACTAAAATATCTCCCGCCTGTATCTCGACAGCTTGGTCAATGGATGTTACGACCCTCGCTGTACCTCGAGTAACTCCTCTACTAACTGGTGTACCTATCATACAGCTGTGTGAAGACAACATTTTGTCCGTTTTATTTATGGGTTTAATGGTTCCACGGGTAACCTCAGAGAAGCATAGTGAGTCCAAGTAAGGGTGAATTCTTTGTCGACGAACTGCTTTAGCAATTAATCGCGCTGACCTGGTCTGAATTAACTCGTTGATTTCCTCAAAAGTCAAGAAGAATAAAAGACGAGCATTGGGTAATCGTCCTTCGTTAACCAACAACGTCCCGAGATGGCAATAAGCACGACGTATTACGTCATAAACCTTAATTAACACGGACTTGGAAGCTTCTCGTAGTCGAACTGCAGCTCTCACCCGAGGTAAAAATAACCATAATAGCCACTTTTGCCAACATGAAAAGGACACTTGAAGGTTTCTTATTGCTTCTTCCACACTTACTTCTTCTTTAACTACTGTGTCAGAATTAACAGTTCCAATCAAGTTCTGAAGAGTTTTCACAACAGTTGTTGGATCAGAACCCCAAGTAATGGTGTTTACATCAAATTCTTTCCAGCAGCGGTGTCCATGTTTATAGAGGAATTCTCGAAATGCCTTCCCAGCTGCTGATTGGCTTATAGTTAGCCATCTCACTGCCGTCTCTGGTGTCATGTTCTTAAAGTCTTCACTTTCAATTTCTTTCTGAATTTCTAACGTTAGTTTTTCCAGAGCAGCGGGCACGTCAGCACTCTCCACATTGGTACAGGTAGATAAGAGGTACGCAAAGTCTGAGAAGACTTTTTCATTCCATTCTTTTTCTGCAGAAAATAACAAATTTAAAAGTAGTGCATTCCACAGTTGAGAACTTGAAGTGCAAGTCATATGAGAGTTAAATGGCTCATGAGTGCCACTTTGAAGATGTTGACCAATTATTTTATACATTACTTTCGATTCATTACAATTGAGTGGAATATGATAACTTGAATATCGTTCCTGTACGTCTTTAATGACATGTTTTGCTAAAACTAAGTTTTTCAATGTTGAAAACAGGATCTTGAACTTGGTCATTAAACTGATATTCTTGATACTGTGTCGATCTTTGTTCCGAACTTTTAGTTCTTTCATGTTCAATGGACGTGCAAATACTGACAATTCAATACATGTAGTCAGGTTGCTTTCCGCACCAAACATGGGATTATTCAATAAATTGAAAAAAATGTGGTTAAACTTGCATGCAAAACTTTTGGTACAGTATGGGTAACACAATTCAGGTGGAATTACAAATAGTTTCTTAAATGATGTCTCGATACTGCTGAAGTTAGTTGATATCCCTAAGGGACTCATAGCTCCTGGCATAACTTCGCCTACATTAGCTTTACTGAGAAATTCTTCTTCACTGTATAAAGGTATATCCATTTCATGCACGATTTCAAATTCAGTTTCTGTGTCCACTGTTGTAACAGGTCTAGCCTGTAGTAGATATACCTTATCTTTTAACATAGCCCATTCAATATCTCTGAAATTTCCAAAATGTTCTTCAACCAAAATTCCAACAAGTCCTAGAGTTAAAGCGGCAGACTCAGATAGGCAGGCTTGTGACGTCCCGTCAATAAGAGCTTTCTCTTTTACCTGACCACTAGAGTCAATGAAACTGCAAACGTTTTTCTTTCCAGTACTGGTAGAAATATGTGTTAACTTGTTATTACAATCTCGACCTAATATAATAGTATCTGGCTCAGCAGCAGCAGAAACAACGGTTTCTCCAAGTCCATAGTTAGCTGTAATAGTGATTAATGCTGGATTAGAGGTCACAGGGTCACATGTAAACATCACCCCTGCGACTTCAGCTGGAACCATCTCCTGAATAACTACAGCCATGGAAGAGTTTAATAGTTGACCGTTACGTCGTTTATATTCTATGGCGACATAAGAGAACTGCGAAGCCCAACATTTAGATACAGCATGGATGATTTGATCAAGTCCTTGGACCCCAAGATATGTTTCATTTTGTCCAGCAGCTGACATATCTTCTGAATCTTCATCTGATGCTGAAGATCTAACAGCAAAAGTGAGACTACTCAGTTTTTCTCCAAATGTTGACTTCATCTTATTTTGTAGAGCCTCAGACAATTCTTTTGGGAGTCTAGTTTTACCAATATCCATCATCACCTGTTGGCATATCTCCTTTAGGTCTCCTTTGGCACGACACCAAGCTACCTCCTCTAAAACTGTCAACATTTCACAAAAGTGTCCTTTCCTAATGAATTCGTGATAAGCTGCTGTAGTCACTACAATACCTTTAGGTACAAGAAACGAATTGGTGAAATGAGATATTGCAATTAATTTACCAAGAGAAGAACCCTTTCCGCCAGTTAACTCTGTTATTTGACAATGTGGGTGTTCCAAGTCAATGACTAGGGGTCTCGATGTGGGTGTTTCTTGCATAGAGAATATATTTAAGGAGTTGGGAATAGGAATAATTTTAGGTTTGTTATTCTTGTACAAGAACACTGATATTCCACTACCTTTAATCCCATTGAGACTAATGGAAGAATGTTTGAAGTATTGCTCGTTATTTTCACTAATAAAGTCACACAGATGATCTCTAAAATCTACAATACATTCAAACATTTTTTTGGCTGCTACAAAAGTAAATTTTTCAGAACGAGGAATCTGTTTATTTTCAGCTATTAGTGGGAGTTGAAAGTCACAAGATGTGAGTGGGAACATCATACCATTAGAGTGGATGTAATGACCATAGACAAGATTAGAGACGATTCCTGGTAAGGAAATAGCACCAACGTGAAAGAGGTTTCCATTCGTGGTGAAACCAAAAAAATCAACACTACGATGTAACTGAACAGCTTGCCCAAGTGATCGCCTACGAGTTCCCCACAAGGTGAGTTCGTCTTCCTGTTCACCGACGATAATAGTTCCTAACAATTGGCCTGCTTGTTCATAAAAATTCAGGGCATTTTCTAACTTTGAAATGTTTGGGAAATATCCAGCCCACGGCTCTTTTGCTAAAGCTTCGGCTACGTGACCTGGATCTATGTCGCTTGTCATATCCTGAACGTCAGACATGGCCTTCCAGATGAAAGTGAATTTCACATGGACTACTCTGGTATTTTCTAAAACATCAGATGTTTCTCTTAAAATTCCATTGAAAGAAATCCTCCATTTTCTCATGGCGCTAATACAGGTTATTTTTATGCCTCCACCACTGAAACCACTACTGTTTCCAGTGGACACGTATCGCATTGGTCCGTCAGGATAACTGTACTGTTTGCCATCAGCAGTTCTCAGAAACAGCGTGACTTCTGCTATCTCATTTTTTAGCCTGGACATTTTGATTATTAGACACTCCCCTGTTGACTTGACTCCATAAAAGAAAATTTCATCTAAGTTTTTTGCAACGTGAGTAGGTGGTTGAGGCTCTTCCAAAATTATTTCTTCAACTGGCGGCAGGCAACCTGTCTTTACTAAATCCTGTAGATCATTCATGTCATACAGGTCAAATCTTCTTCGATATGTCCATTTTCGAATTTTTAAATACAACAACGTAACAATCTTTTTAAATTGGAAATAACGAGTTGGTAAGTTGTATATCCCATGTAAAGGTTGCAAATCCTCTGTCATCAGAAGGTGGTAAAACAAATATCCTACAGGAACTGCAAGGACAGCACCCATTTTCCCTTGTTTTAGAGTTGTCCGAGTGTAATTGAGAGACAACAGTTACAACCGTCGTTAGTTAGAACTTGCTGTAGATGTAGTTAGAACGACAGTGAATTTAAGTAATGAACAACGTCAGTAAAAGGCGCTGTCACGAGCGCCTTATATGTCACGTGAAGTTAGGTAATAGGCGTGTTTTTATCTGCTTTTAACGTCAGAACGTTACTTACTGAATACATTTCGGTTGGTTGGTTTGCTAGCAAAGTCGACACAATGTTCAATTCTTTTTATTTAGGACTTTGTACAGCCGCAGCAAAATTCCTTGATTCCGCACCACAGATTCTATTTACAGAATAAAGATAAATTCACAATACTCGTAGAAATCACTATTTTCCCGCGGAAAATTATTAAAATCCCTTGTACCTGATGATGACAAAACCTTATCGAAACGTTGTACATTTGCTGTTATGTTAAACTTATATTAAAGTTTTTCTTCATTACCCATTCAAGCCGTCTGCAGCCATTATTAGTCTCAAAGTGGGTTCCTCGTCATCGAATTTAAAATACCTAGTGTTTTTCCGACAGAAAACAAATTTATAGTACTGACGAAAGGTAAGTTCCTACTGTTCACCCATTAAAAAATAATAATAACATCGTGTTAAAAATCAACGAACGGATAGCGAACATAAATATGTGGTTACATGTACACGAAGACTGAACGGTAGAGAACAAGTTCGCGTTTAATAAATATACATGTATACGCGATCTCTTTTATTAGTCTCAGGCGTTTACACATTGTATTATAGAATAACCGATCGTAAACAAAACTTTGGACATCAATATATCTTCCTTTCTTATTAAATAAAAATATTTAATAGGCAGTAAAATACTTTTTAAATTCTAATTAGTAGGTCACCAATTTGTATTTAACGTTTGAAGTCAAACCACTAAAACATATTTTCAACTATTCAGATTCTAAGAAAAACTATTATGAAAGTAATATTTAAGAACATATTCTATCATGTTTCCTTTACAACTGACTGTAGTGTACAGGAAAACAAGTTAAAGCTAGGTTAGTACTCACAAATACATTTGTTGATACTATCATGGCCCGGCATGGCCAGGTGGTTAAGGCACTCGACTCGCAATCTGAGGGGCGCGGGTTCGAATCCCTCTCATCCCAAACATGCTCGCCCTTTCAGCCGTGGGGGCGTTATAATGTGGCGATCAATCCCACTATTCGTTGGTAAAAGAGTAGCCCAAGAGTTGGCGGTGGGTGGTGATGACTAGGTGATGACTCTAGTCTTACACTGCTAAATTAGTGACGGCTAGCGCAGATAGCCCTAGTGTAGCTTTGCGCAAAATGAAAAAAAAAACAAACAATTATACTATTATTGTAAACTATTATACCGAATAAAACTCCTATAGTGTAATTGTAGCCATAGTAAGGAACCTACACACACACACTGTACTGTTATTTACATATATTAACAACTTTATCATTACTTACATATTACAGGAACATTTGTAAAGTAGTTAAATTACAGTAAATACAATGAAAGTAACAACTTAAATCAAACGTATTACTATTAATTGTTTGTTTGTTTGTAATTAAGCACAAAGCTACACCACGGGTATCGAAACCCGGATTCTAGCGTTGCAAGTCCGCAGACATACCGCTATGCCACTGGGGGCATTTACACAGTGAATCAAAGTAATTTACAGATATTAGACACAACGTGTAATTTATTTTTTACTCTTTTGTAAAATACTTTTTGCACAGACACATCATTACACATGCGGTATCGTGTGAACTATTTTTACTTCAAAAGTACTCTTTATCTTTGTTTTCTATCACTGGACACACACACACACACACAGTGCTGTTTCACAATTTAGATCATACTTTTAGAAACGCGCGAAGTCTCACTTCCGTTATAACGACCACATACTGTTCGGCATGCTTACATACAATGATCTAATAATGGCTGGAGACGGCTTGAATGGGTAATGAAGAAAAACTTTAATATAAGTTTAACATAACAG